CGTAGAGTTTTCCTTCTGTTCGCGTTCAGTGGAGAGGTCAGCCTCCTGAGGCATCGACCTGGGAGTCCGATTCTGATATGCGGAGCCGTTATCCCCATCTTTTCCCCGACTTAGGTACTTCTTTCTTTTGTCCGTTCGAGGACGAACGGTTGTTTTAGAGGTGGAGGATGTGACGACCCAAAGGGTCATCACCGTATTTCCCACTCACCTTGTACTTCCCGAGGCCGTGAAAACCTCACTTGGGGGTTGCCTCGACTTGTGTGCACAGTCCGGGCGCGTAACCGGAAAGGTTAAATGTGAATTTCTGAGAAAAATAATAAATTTGATGTTTTAAATTGATTAAGTTTGACTTTGGTCAACGTTTTGGGCAAACGGGCCCGGACTCGTGATACGACAGTCTCGGAGGGGTCCGTAGGAAATTTTGGGACTTGGGTGTGTGCCCGGAATCAAATTCCGAGGTCCCAAGTCCGAGAAACGAATTGTTGTGTGAAATTGTTTTCTGAAAATAATTAAAGAATTGGAAAGTGTTATTTGTATAGAAGACTGTGCTGTTGGGCTCGTATTTTGGTTCCGACGCCCGGCACAAGTCTTAAATATGATTTAAGCAATTGCTGTAAAGTTTGGTTAGATTTGGACGTCATTTGACGTGTTTTGAGCTAGAAAAGCTTAACTTAATGTTTTATGGGAATTGGAAAGAAATTCATGGGTATTGAGACCCAAATTGATGATTCATGATGTTAATTGGGCGATTTGATCGCACGAATGAGTCCGGAGTATGTTTTTGAGATTATATGTATGTTCGGTTTGGAGCCCCGAGGGCTCGGGTGAGTTTTGAGTAGGTCCCGGGAGGTCTTAGACTTAAAAGTATCAGGTGTTGCAGGTCGAGGTGTTGCAGGCCCCTAGCGCGGCCGCGGTCATTTCCGCGCGGTCCGCGTGGCTGGGTTCAGAGGGCCTATGAATCCCAATTCGACCAGCGCGACCGCGTGCCATATCAGCGCGGTCCGCGCTGGAAGATTCAGAGAGGGGCCTTGGGATTTCATTCAACCAGTGCGGCCGCGCACAAAATCAGTGCGGTCCGCGCTGGGTAGGTTCAGAGAGTGGTTTTCCCACCCTTCCTCCGCGTGGCCGCGGGGCATTTTTGTGCGGTCCGCGCCGGGTCTTCAGTACAATATATAAAGTCGGGATTTTCAGTCATTTTTCACTTTTTCAAAACCCAAGACATAAGAGGCGATTTTACAAACGATTCTACTTCTTCAAAACGATTGGTAAGTGATTTCTAACTGATTTTTCTAAACTCCTTAACATCCTTAAATATAATTTCAACTTCAAAACATGGATTTTAATGGGGGAATTTGGGAATTTAGGGTAGAACTAGGGTTCCTAAACTTGGGGGTTTTGGACCTCAATTTGAGGTCCGATTCCAAAATAACTTATATATCTGAATTCATGGGGGAATGGGTAATCGGATTTTGGTTCGAACCTAGGGTTTTGACCACGTGGGCCCGGGGGCATTTTGGGAATTTTTGAACAAACTTTGGGAAATTCATTTCATGCATTCAAATTGATTCAAGTAGCATTTGTTAATACATTCAAGTAATTTGTGATTAGATTCGAGCGGTTTGGTGGTGAATTCGAGGGGTAACGCTATACTAGAGGATTGAGTTGAGTTTGGAGCATTCGAGGTAAGTGTTTGATCTAACTTTGGCTTGAGGGAATAGGATTAGAGTGTTGTTTGCTAATTGCTAAATATGGAGTACGGTGTATAGGCATGGTGACGGGTATTTATACACCGGTGCCTAGCATGACCGTGGGTCTTTATTTGTACTTATTCTGATGTTGTTATGACTCTTCCATGTTAATTGATGAATTCTATGCAATGTGAAGAGTATAAGAATTAATTATGAATTGTAAATTCTTTGGAGCGTTGGCTCGAACGATAAAAAGACTATTGAGTAAGAAATGAAAGAAATAGAAAGAGATATGATTAATCCCTTGCCGGGATGGTTTGAGTATATTGATTATCTCCCTTGCCGGGATATGAAAGTTATTGTTGTTGCTCCCTTGCCGGGATTTAGCTGTTGAATTGTGTATTTCCCTTGCCGGGACACTTCTTATTATTTGTTATCCCCTCGCCCCGTTTGGTTGTGACTACTGTTTGGGTGAGGAAGAGTGATAATGCACGAAGGGTCATTCCGTGCCATGTTTGATTATACTTCCACGAAGGGTCATTCTGTGCCATGTTTGATTATACTTGCACGAAGGGTCATTTCGTGCCATGTTTTGATGATATGTGCACGAAGGGAAGTTCCGTGCCATGATGTGAGAGTTATGTGAGGAAAAGCACGAAGGTTGATGCCGTGCAAATTGTTAATTTTCCTGCTCTCATTAATTATTGTTATTGTACGGTTTCTTGTTTAAATTGCTGACTTTATATTCGGGCTGTACTTTCCCCATAGCATGCTCCCCTCCCTCTTAACTGTTTGATTTCTGTGTTCTTTCCTTCTATTGCATATATGTATATTGAACTGCACAGGTTGTTTTGGTAGTCCTGTCTAGCCTCGTCAGTACTTCGCCGGGGTTAGGCCAGGCACTTACCATCAATGGGGTCGGTTGTGCTGATGCTACACTTCTGTGCTCTTTTGCACAGATCACGGTACCAGAGCAGCTTTTGGACCACAGCAGTAGTGGATTGGGAGCCGACATCAGTCCAGGGACTTACGAGGTAGCCTAGCTGGCGTTCGCATGCCGGAGTCCCTTTCTGCGTTTTAGTTTGTTTTCATTGTACCGAGACAAACATTGATGTATTTCTATTCAGACTTGTTTTTAGCACTCCTTAGTAGTTCGTGAGTTAGCGACACCAGTCTTGGGTAGAGAAATGTTAAACTTTCGCATTTTTGGTTTTCAGTTATCTATGCTTTTAAGACTTCCGCTTTTATTTAAATGACTCGTAATATTTATATTGTTGAGGTGTTATCAGGGAATATTTAAATGTTTGGCTTGCCTAGCTCCGTAAGTAGGCGGCATCACGACTCCCGATGGTGGGAAAATCCGGGTCGTGACACGGTTCAAGTGACATTGCATGCCTAATAAATTCCTTAACCCCTTCTATAAATTCCTCCCTAAAAAATCGGCGATTAGGATAATTCCTATTATACATCCAACTACGATATTCCATCTACATAAAGGACAAATAAATTATATTAATCATAGTTCAAATTAATTTATAGAATTAAGTTACATAATAAATTATAATTTATTAGCACACTCAATTAATCTGGCATAATTAGTTAAGCCTAATTTTATAAAGTTAATAAACACTAATAGAACGATAAAATCCCCTAAATTAATAAACCCTAAATTTCTATCATTAATCATATAATTAGACTCGCTAGACAATGAATTAGTTAAGCCATTCAATTAGACTAATTCGATTATACTAACTCAAGGTTTATAATTTAAGGTAGTTCTTCATTAATTTGAATTCTATTAATATAAATAATTTATACACCTCTAATAGTGCATAATCAATTTTAGTTACAATGTAGTTCACTTTAATTACAATGTAGTTACAAGTTAATTTATAGAAATAAGTTACAATGTGCTTATATTCTTTGATAGTGCAAAAATTTTAACATTAAGAACTAGTTTATACAATTCATAATTTATACCTTAAGTTACAAAATTATAGAATTTTGTTACAATGTTCTAGTTTATACAATTCATAATTTATACCTTAAGTTACAAAATTATAGAATTAAGTTACAATGTACTATTTTATACAATTCATAATTTATACCTTAAGTTACAAAATTATAGAATTAAGTTACAATGTACTAGTTTATACAATTCATAATTTATACCTTAATTCTAAATCTAATGTAGTTCAAAAACCTATTTAGCCACACATATCCTAGATATACAAAAACCCTAATTAATTACATAAAATTATATTCCGAAAATTAAAAATTAATAATCTAATAATTAAGGTAGATTACTAACCTTGAACAACAATGGTAGTGGTGGAGGCGGCGCAGCAGTGGTGGTGGAGGCGGCGACGCAACAATGGTGGTAGTGGAGCTGCGGAACAGTGGTGGCGGCGACTTAGGCGTGAGAGAGAAGAGGTGGGGCTATATTATTTGGGGGTGGGTGACTTGATTTTGGGTGGTATTAGGCCAAAAATATGTGGGGAAGAGAGATGGATGAGAGATAGAAGAGAGAGAGAGTTAGAAGATGAAAATGGGGGAAATTCCCGTCTGGGCTGGTCTAATTGCGAATTTTTCGACCGATTTCCGATCGATTTCGGTCAGAAAAGTTAAAAAATATTTGACCGTTTGACCGGCCCAATCGGTTTCCAAATTTTAAAATATTAATTTCACTCATATTAATTCAATTCATATAAATAGAATTTAAATAAATAATATTTAATATATATATATATATATATATATATATATATATATATATATTATATAAATATATTATATATATATATATATAGTAAGATTTAATCGAATATAGCTTATATATATAACCAAAAAAATTTCTTTTTATGACCAAACAATTTATCACTTCAACCTGATGTTCAACCCGTTTATTTGAAAGGTGAATTAACCTAAATAGTAACTGCTTAAATTATGTCGCTCATATCGCCTATAATATATGTATAATCATATATAATCGATACATAATTTATGTATGCTAACTAAAGACGTAAACAATCAATATGACCGACTACTTGTATAATGATTCCGGGTTTCATTTATCATTATCATTATATGGTGACTTAAAGAACCCGGCCGCATCAATAAAGGCCGTGGTGGAATGGTAAATACTTTTTCATCCTTACTAATGTTTTTGAATATGAGTCCCGGGTATAAAATCACATTTGTCCGGGACTGCTTTCCCCATTATGGAATTTTCCGATATGAATACAGATTTAGTCGGACGCCAATACGAATATATAACGGTGAAAAAAAAAAATGAACCAATGCCGGAGAAGGACTGATTATTGGGAAGAGGGGCGGACAAGAGGGGTGCATATCTTATCTCTGTACACCTTTACGCCCTCTTTTTTATGCACCAACTTGATCCATTTTTCATTTACCCACTAGTCCCACTATTCTTGTCAACCTCACGTGAACCCATCCTCTTCCTCTTACTTTTGCAACTTCAACCAACTTTCTTCCTTCTCTCTCTTGTATAATTAGCTGTCTACTCTATGTATATATAAATGAAAAACTGAGACATTTCTAGCCATAACAAAAGAGCCCCATTAGCGACCACTCTTACAGTTTACGACATAAGAATCATCAGCTCTTCTTTCATTTCAGATCAAAATCTAACAACACTTGGCCAAAAAAAAAATGCCTCCTAGTTCTCCAGATTCATCTGTTTTACTCCAAAGAATAAGCTCCAACACTACTCCTGATTTTGCCTGTAAACAATCTCAGCAATTACAAAGGCGTACTATGCCGATACCTAGTACGACACAAGTCCCAGATTCCGTTGTCCGATTCCATACTCACCCGGTGGGTCCCAACCAGTGCTGCTCCGCCGTGATCCAGCGGATTTCCGCCCCCGTCTCCACCGTATGGTCAGTGGTCCGCCGTTTCGACAACCCTCAAGCATACAAGCACTTTGTCAAGAGCTGCCACGTCATCGTAGGGGATGGTGACGTCGGCACTCTCCGCGAGGTCCGAGTGATCTCGGGCCTTCCAGCTGCGTCCAGCACGGAAAGACTCGAGATCCTCGACGACGAGCGACATGTCATTAGCTTTAGCGTAGTCGGTGGAGACCACCGACTCGCGAATTACCGTTCCGTCACCACACTCCACCCGGAACTGTCTGGTGACGGGACGACCATCGTCGTTGAATCCTACGTTGTTGATGTACCACCTGGTAATACTAGAGATGAAACGTGTGTTTTCGTTGATACCATCGTCAAATGCAACCTCACATCGTTATCGCAGATCGCAGTAAACTTGAACAGAAGAAAAGATTCTTGAAATATAGAATATATTTACAAAACTGATCGATGATGCTTTTGATGATGATTCATTTAAGCGATGATTTTTATTGGGGGTTGCAATGGTCTGAAAATCGTTGCACCTTTTCAGATCATGTGCTTATTATAATCTCCTGGTTGTCATCACTTGTTGAAGATAAGTTCTTGGTTACGGAATTAATTTCATTCTCTTTAATTATATCAAGTACTTGCTTCTTTTTTTGCCTCATTGCTCTATGTTTAACTTTATCTGTGTATTTGTGAAAAATAAAAAGGATTCAGAGGGCAAAATTTTCTCAAATGCTGGTGTTTCATTACTTTATCTTCATGTAGTTTATTCTTTATTGGAAACATATGGATCTTCTTTCTAGTGTTTATTTGCTGAATTACAATTTCGAGTCATATATTGGATGTTAATACAACTAAAAGGTTATAGGACAGTTATCTCGAGGAAGGGGCGCATCTCAAGAGGGTGTGATGTATGACGTCTTCCTACTGCAAGCATTAGTCACACTGTCTTTTTATTTAAACATGTCATTTCCTATAAGAATTGGTCATTAAGAACAAGAAACGAATATTAAAGTAATACTATTAACTCTTCAAATATTAACTATATCAAATACTAGTTGTGAACTTGTGATTAGGAGAATGAATTAAGACGAGGTTAATTAGGTCGTTTGATATTTGGATGATTTGTTTTTAGAATAAATGTATTAAATATATAGCTTGAACGCAGTAGGAAGGTGAGTTAATTCAGTGGATCAAAGAAACGAAAGAATTAAACAAGATGATTATATTTGTATTTAGAAGGTGAAATCAACGTGAAAAATAGCCGACTCTTGAATACAGCCAATGGTCGATTCTATTGCTTGCTAAAAGCTGTAATTAAATTAAATAAATCTCAGGTTCCCATACTAAGACGGCTAAATTAAGTACGATGCACGTACTCTTTTCATTAATTTTGATATAAATAATTAAGTTTCTAGTAAATATTATTCATTAATTTAATGTCGATTAAGGATTCCAGCAATATAGAAGTACAGTACTTAATAAATGGCACGCACGATAGCAGTTTCTTCTGTTGTTTGAAATTTAATGTACATACACTCTTGATCAGTGTAAAATCAGAACTTTTATTAACAAAAACTAAAATATGAAGAAATAAACACACGAAAAATCCAAGAAAATTCAACATATACTATATAACAAATTTTTCACTTTTGTAATAAGCAAATTCGTAGCATCAATCGTATTAATTTTTTCTCAAAATCACACATATTTTCTTAAGAAGCATGTCCATATGGCACATTAAGTGATAATAACACAAGAACTTAGGTTTATAAATTTGACCAAAAAATAAAAAAAATAAAAAGAAGTAAATGTGCAACCTAATTAAAAAATTTCTATTATTAGAGGCATAAGCGAGGATGCAAGTTGCCTAAGGTTGTTGGATTGGAACATGTTCACATTATATAAACAATAAAAATTAGAAAAAGAGATAACATGACGAGAATCAAACAGATACTCTGCAAGTTGGAGAAGGCGACTTTTTCTAAAATAAAAAAAGAGACCAATTAGATGATAGATATATATTCAATAAAGAAACAACAAGTTGCAAATTTTTAAATTTATCATATGGGAATTGTTTAATAATTAAATTGAAAAAGTAAAGGGATAGTGATTGTGCAAGTTGCACCGGCTTTGTTGTTCTCACCTCAACTCTTTTATTATCTTTTTGCCTTTGAATAATATGTAAGTTGGAGAAAAATAAGTTTTAGAACGGTTTCAATATGCAACTTGCAACTCCAACTTGCAATAGCGACTTTAATGATCCTCGTGCTTCTTGTCTACCTATTATTAGGTTCATTCAAGCTATTTCTAAAAAAAAAAATCCCATTCCTTATAAGAAATATTTTATGTGATCATTTATAATTTTAATAAATAAAAAATAATTCTACGAAGATCTCATGTATTGTATTTTTAAACAGGGAAGAAAATCTTTTTTGATCAATTGCATATATAGACGTCGGACCTTCCTTATTATCACACGACTCCCAGCGCATACGGCTCGTACAAAGACTCTTTGCCTACCGAATTGGAGTATCCTACTTTCACGCAATTTACAGGGTTCAACAAAAAATCAATATTTCACGATCAAGGATGTAATTCTCTTTGTAGTAGCGGTCCTTATATATCGTATTAACAATCATATTATGGTAAAAAAAATCTCTATTTGATAAGCCTTTTTGTTTTACCTATGAGTTCCATTTGACCTAGAAATAATACATTGAAAGAATCCATTGGTCTTCTAATATCAATAGGTTGATTGTTTCGTTCTTGGTATGCACAACTACCACCGTATATGGCTCGCACAAAGACTGCTAAATTATAGATGCTCCTCTTCGTATTTTATTTCTAAGCCTTTTCATAGATTTGTTTAAATTTTCATTATATTAAATAAGGAAATATTTTACTGTATAACTGCTCTCAAAATAATAACCAAAAAAAAAAAATTTTTTGTATATAGATATATTCTATATGTTATATACAAAAATTATATAAATTTTATACACTTTTTCGGCTACCAAATATAAATAGTTTTTGGCGCAGGCTAAAAAAGATAATATCCTTGTAAACAAAACGGGGAAAGGAAAGAGATAGATATTAAAGGGAGAAGCGGTTCCTACCTGAATTTTTTCCATCATTTACTTTCCGACTAATTTCCAAGAAAGGAAAGAGATAGATATTTATTCTTTAGCTTGTGGATCATGCATAAAGATTAGAGCACTCTTTCTAGTTATGACAATATTATGGAAATCCAATGCCATTTCATCTGCAAATTTTTTCCTTGTTAATTTTTATTTAAATTGTCATGTAATAAGTAGTAATAGGTACTAGGCAAGTGCAGCTGAATTAATTTTTCGATTTCTATTTTCTGGCTGAACCTGAAGACAACCAAGAAATGGACCACCTAATGTAATGCATTTTCTTTTCCCTATTGCCTAATATATAGGTTATGTTACTGGAACAAACTATGTAATAATTTTTTGCTTTATCTATTGAGCCAATCTTACTGAAGTAGACTTGAAAAGAATTTCCCCTCTAGATAGCTTCATTTTAAATAGGAAAATAACTCTAGCTAACCTTCGTAAGCAGTGTCGTAGCCACATAGAGCGAAGAATGTTCAAAACATTCTTTATCGAAAAATTATACAGAGTATATAAAAAATTATACTATGTATATAGGTCAAAATTACTTTTTATAGATATATATTAAACGTTGAAGGGAGTCTTGACGTAACTGGTAAAGTTGCTATCATGTGGCCAGGAAGTCACGAGTTCGAGCCGTGGAAATAACCTCTTGTAGAAATACAGGGTAAGGATGCGTACAATTCCCTTGTGGTCCGGCCCTTCCCCGACCCTGCACATAACGAGAACTTAGTACATCGGGCTGTCCATATTAAACGTTGAACACCCTTTGCAAAATTCTGGCGCCGCCGCTGTTCATAAGTAATACGCACTCAGCTAAATTTTAGCAAGAGAATTTTTTTCATTCACAGCTAAATTTAGTTAGGATTTTTGTGTGTATTTCTAGCAAATATTATATATGACTATTCGTAACTAAATTAGGATGAGCAAGTTGATATCTATTCTCAAAGGACGTCATGCCAATTGTATTTAGCAGAATTGTCTGATTGCTTTCACTTATTGGATTTTAAAGATAGGAAGTGGTGCATTGGATGAGGCTAGCTCTTCCTTAATCAGAGGTTTCGAGTTCGAGCCTTGGGTATGGAAAAATTCTTGGTAGGGAGCGCTTCCCCCCGAATGGGGCCCTACGCGACGCGAATCCGAATATAATCGAGCTCCATTGCGGATACCGAACACCGAATGAAAAACAAATTTTTTTTTTTAAATTTTTTATATAGAGTTTTCAGCTTCTTTTTCGAAATCAGACAACATTTCAAAATCACGAGGGATAATATTAGCCTTATGCAATAAAGCGAGCAAAGGAAACGACCACACATTCTCCATTTGCTTTTGTATTGTGTTACCTTTTCTTTTTCCTCTTGCAGCTTGTTTGGAGGGTTGTTACCCGTTGTTTCATAATATATCATTTTATATATAGTATTATATTGTATTGTATTGTTTTGTGAATATAATACTTGAATAGATTGTATCATTTGTTGTGATGTAAAAATACTTTTATTGTTTGGTTTGACTGTATCGTATTCTATTATAATTCATAAGTTTTCTAAACTGCTCTTAACTGCAATAAATTAAAATTTGTCAATAATTATAAGACAGCCTATTTTCTCTAATTTATCACCCATTATAAACAAAGAAAGTATGATCATATACAAAAGTTAAAAGTTATGACATAGACTAATAAGAAAAAAACAAACAAAAATAATAAGAGTAATTGTTACAATCCAAAACATAAGAAAATAGTGATCATATATAATAAAAAGAAAAAATAAAAGAAATCACGAAACTGGTAGGCCCGGGATTTCACCTATTGATTTTGATGATAACAAACCAATATTTATATCTATATCTATTATTATATTAAAGCACGAAGGCCCTCAGCGAAATATCGTTCGTCTTTTTTACCCTTTTAAAATAGAGTTTATATTAGTCATTTAATTATATTCCTAATATTTAGCACTTTAAATCAACTAAAATTTTATTTAATATATTTTTCCTTATTTGAACTATGTAAAAAATACTAACATTTAAAGCTTTAAAATCAATTAATTAAGATTTTACCTTTTATACTAACAATAAAATCATAAAAGATCACGTTGAAAAGGAAAACTATTTTGTAATTTGATCACCATTAAACTTGTATTTAAGTTATACGTTTTAATGATCAAAACACTGTTTTTCACTCAAGTCCGATAGGTTTGGTTAGTTGTCGTTTCTTTTCTACTTTATTTTGCCTTTTGTTTTGGTTGTGATTCAAACCTTATTCGTAGTGATCTTTTTTTTGCTTGCTTTCTTTATTTGTTTTGTTAGTAATTTTAGTCTCATAATCCCATGTAACCATATTATGATTGATGAGAAACCCAAATCTTTTAATTTTGAATTACATAATTGAGTAATTTTTTGATTGATTTTTTTGTTGGTTACATTGTATTGAAACATTTTCTTTATTAAATTTTTCAAGTTCTGCGTTTGATAGAAATTATCAATTATAACTCACAAGTTCTTAGTTGGAAGTTTTTTTTTCGGTCACGGGTTGGAGGGTTTCTAAGTACTCCTTTGTGCCATGAATGTGAAATCCGGCAAGGTTTGATTTAATCTGAAATAGTTGTACAGGTAAACTGAGGTATTCAATTTCATCTAATGAACAGAGATATTCTTTATAGCTCAGTC